GAATGTTCAATCGTGGAACTCGAATGTTGGACGAGATTACAGCTAAGTTGAAATCGAAATCTTCAATGTCGGAAAAGCAACTAACAATATTGCATTGCAAGTGAAACACTGAATTCTTTATAAGAATGTTGAAAGCCTGATGTTGAATTTTGTCGGGAATATAACGCCATACAGATGTGGCTGACAATCGGATCATCTGACATCTCCTTAATCCTTATTAAGCGAGAGCAAAACAAATACATTGTTATCTCTGGAATACCACTGACAAGTAATACTGGTGTGTACCATGTGAACTGGACTCAATCACTTGGCCCGGTTATTAGGAGTATCTTGAAACAGATAACGCAATTTGCGCACGTAATGCCTGCGGCGTTTACAATGTGTATTCAAGAGGTACTCTTGTTCCAGACCGCGAACGCCTGTGAAAAGGACAATAAAGCAAATACTCAGTTTTAACACGGAATTTTTAAAAAGCTTCATTGGTGTTCAGTCAGTTGTTTAATATTCGACCACCAATCAGTTTTATCGACACTTGACCGCTATCACACGGCCAGCACTGAAATACTTCAAATAATCTGCCGAACTGATCCAACATATTCGAAAAAAAGAGCAATACGTTTTTACGTGACTGGGCTGTTGAATGCTGTCCTCAATCTGTCAGTCCAAATAGAATTAACCACATCTTCCGTTCCAGATAGAGTATCAAATGGATACAATGTATATTGGTATGGAGGGGACGTGCGGATTCGTACGATCTTACTTGCTGTTTTTCGGATAATTTCTTTATATTTTGCAGTTTTGCGCTTTCATCGAGAAGTGAGGATTCATTTTTTGCGATTTACTTTGCAGACTCTTGGGTTTTCGCGTTTATTTTAATTGAAACTCACGGTTTATAGCACCCCCTCCCCCCGCCACGTCCCCCTCCTTAAATCTAAATACAGATACTTTTCCTTCACTACAGATTTCTATCTCAGAGTAACGTGCCTACCAATCTTGGAATCTTACAGAGCAGACATCACCAATCCCAGATGAAGATAGTGCACATGATTATTATGACTATTGTGGCATTTGTCATCAGTTGGTCTCCGTATTGCGCTGTTAGCCTGGGAGCCATGTTCCGTAGAGGTCACGTTTTGGCGCACGGTGAGGCGGAAATCCCTGAACTTTTAGCCAAATCTTCAGTGATCTATAACCCAATAATATACATGACTATGAGTAAGAATTTTAGAAAAACTGTGAAGAGGACGATATTTCAGTCCTTATCTGGGTGCAGTAGAAGTTTGGTGCGGCCGTCAGTTTGCAGCCTGCAGCCACGTGCTCATAGAGATCGAAAAGAATTCGTGTGACTGTGAAAACATTCCTCCGTAACCGCGCGTGACCGTGACGGTGTCGCTCACGAGCATTTTCATTGGATAAGCAATGATGTGAACAGTTCTCCATATTCATGTGTTTTAGTGAAAGTCCTTGGAATTTTAAACTGTTTGTAATTGTTGAAGTCGTAAATAGCCGTTAGTAGTTTTGAATATTTTGAAGCTAACATAAGGCTAGCCCTGAGTATAAACAAGGTACACAGTAATATTGTAAGAATACGAAAATAGTATCATTGGAAAAAATTGCCCATACATTTGGAATATTTGCTCTTTTCGGTCTTTTT